CTTCTATTATGAATGTAGGCCACAGACCACAGTAGCATTGGCAGTACTTGGACTTTGTCGCCAATGGAATCACAGATATTTCCATATTCTACTACGGTTGTTGCAGATTTCATAAATATTGTCTATGAGATTATAGTAGTCATCAGACCTATTGCTTGTTCTTGTTATTTAACATGCTAGTAAAGAAACCCATAAATCACCATTAATTATCACAATTTAAAATACGTTTGATGACTGTATTTCTTTTTTTTTTTATTTCAAGGGAAACTTTATTTTTGTTGAGTACTAGGTCAGGTGATGACTGTATTTCAATCTAATTGATTTCATTTGAAATCCTATATATTTTATTTTATGCATTTTTTAATTCTGAGAAGGGGGCACTAGGTTTTTCCAAACAGCACAGAATCCAGAGCACAAAAAGATTTAGAACGTTTTGGTAGGACGTTGTGGATGGATTGGCTGGACGGGGGAGAGGAAGGGAAGGAGGGAATCAAGGCTGACCCCCAAGTTTCTGGGCCAAGTAATGGTGGATGGGGGTGTGGTTAAGTTTTTCATTTGGACTCCTCACCATGAGACCCCACTGCAAATTGGGATTCATTTCCCTCCCTCCTTTTCCTCTCCCTGCTGATTCAGAAATAAATCTGCAGAGACCTTTCTTTTAGGTTTTTTGGGGAAAAAAAGGATTTTCACTGAGTGTCATGCTCAGGAGAGACAGGAGTTAACAAGTATTTTAATCAACAAGCTAAGGGTTATAGGAAATCAGAAAAAATACTAGTAATGAGACTTTATTTCTGGTCTTATTCATTTGATTAAATTCAGTGGGCATTTAATGGGGGCTTACCAGGCCCTCTTAAGGATTAGGAATACAAGAAAATAAGATATGACCTCTGCTTTCTTGAGTTTCAGTCTAGCCAAGGAAAAACATATATAAGCAAATGCAATGCATTGTGAGAAATGCAGCATAGAGCAAGGGGGGTACAGTTTTGTGGGGCCTGAAGTTTACACAATTTGCAGAGCCTTTAAGAAAAAGAAGACAAAATTATGAGACCAAAATTAGGTATGGGGTCTTGGAAGTGTCCATTGTAAATGGGGGGCCCTAAATGCTAAGTTTCACTCACTTCAGGGTCAGTCCACACGTGGAAGGGAGACAGCCATGCAAGTTTTATTGGGCGGAGGAGTCTCAAAAAGGCAGGCAGATTAGACACCGTTTCAAAGGATAGAGCATTAGGACTTCAAACTCCTTAAGCTGTATTCTTAGATGATTAGCAGCTAGAATGAGAAAGGTGAGAGGTCAGGAGCATCTGGGTACTCTGTCCACTTCCCAAAGCACGTGGAGAAAGCAGAGGCCTTTGCAGGTGGACAGGGAACAGCCTTGGATGAATGCTGCAAGACGAATGGTTGGAAAAGCAGGGATGCTGAGCAGAAGTGACTGTTCAACTGGGTGGGTGGGGGCAGGACACGATATTTGTTTATTTATTTATTTAGACTAGGTAGATGTTCAAAATTCAAGAGGCATAGAAGGATTTACAGGGCCGGCTCTGTGGCTTAGCGGTTAAGTGCGCGCGCTCTGATGCTGGCGGCCCGGGTTCGGATCCCGGGAGCGCCCGGAGGCACCACTTCTCCATCCAACGTGAGGCCGAGTCCCGCGTACAGCAACTAGAAGGATGTGAACCTATGACATACAACTATCTACTGGGGCTTTGGGGGGAAAATGCTGAATAAATAAAATCTTTAAAAAAAAAAAAAAAAAAAAAAGAAGGATTTACAGCATTGCCAGTTTCTGGTATAGTTTTCTGGATATAATCTGTGCATACCCAAGCAGATACCTAGATATAATTTTTTTTAACACAAACAGTAGCACATTATACCCACTGTTCTGCCTCTTGAGCTTTCCATTCAACAGGGCATCTTGGAGATTGTTCCATATCAGGACACAAAGAGCATCCGCATTCTTTTCTTTTTTTGGTGAGCAAGATTAGCCCTGAGCTAACATCCGTTGCCAATCCTCCTCTTTTTGCTGAGGAAGACTGGCCCTGGGCTAACATCTGTGCCCATCTTCCTCTACTTTATATGGGACACCACCACAGCATGGCTTGACAGCAGTGCATATGTCCACGCCCGGGATCCAAACCTGCGAACCCTGGGCCACTGAAGCACAGAATGCAAACTTAACCTCTACACCACCTGGCTGGCCCCATCTGCATTCTTTTTGATGTCTGCATAGTATTCCCTCATAAATATCCACCCGAATTCATTCACCTGTTCCCTATTGCTGCACGCTCAGCTTGTTTCCATTCTTTTGCTGAAACACCACTTGCTGCTGGGAATATCCTTCTAGAGAGGTCATTTTGTGTAAGTGAGTATATCCCTAAGATAAATCCCTAGAAATGGAGTGGCTGAGTCAAAGGGTACGTGCATTTGCAATTTCGATAGACATTGCTAAATTACCCTCTCACCAGCAATGTGAAAGAGTGTTTGTTTCCCCACATGGCCCAACATAGTGTGTCATGCACTATTGTTATCTGTCAATCTGATAGGTAAAAATTGTATCTCAGTGCTGTTGTAGCTGTGTTTATCTTATTGTGAGTGAATCTGAATGTTTTTTCATTCAGAGCTGCTTGTATTTCCTTTGCTGGGCAGTCACCAGACCTATCTGTTGGCCAGATTACTATTGGGTCATTAGTTTTTTTCTTACTGATTTGTAATCACTCTTTATATATTGGAGAAATGAGCCCTTTGTGTCAAGTTTATATTTTCCCCCAGTTTGTTCACTTCCTGGGACATTAAATTGATCTTTGAAATAATAATAGCCTTGGGAGGAATTGAGGATTCCCCCCCCAACTTCCCAGAAGGAAAACTATTGTAACTGTAAGTAACATAACTTTCAACTCTACATAAAAGTTGCTAAGTAAATTATGAAGCATCACTCTTGATTCATTCAACAAATGTGTGTGGAGCACTTACTGGGTTCCAGATGCTCTTCCAGGTGCTGAGATTACAGTGATGACCAAAATTGCCAAAATCATGCTCTCGTGGAGCTGATGCACCATGAAAGAGTAAACAGAGAGATACCTTGAGATAGTGATAAGTCTTATGAAGAAGGTGAAATGAAGGTGACAAAGGGAGGTGTGGCAGTGGGCTGGTTTAGATTAGATGGTCAAGGAGGGCATCTCTGAAGAGGTGACTTTGTGTTAGGACCTGAGTGACAAGAAGGATGTAGGCTGGAGTGTAAGAACTAGAGCAGCCTGGCAGAGGTAACAGCACGTGTAAAGGCCCTGAGGTAGGAGTTGAGATCAGGAAGACTAGCACAGGCCTCAGTATAAAGGGCCTTAGAGGCCAGGTGAAGAGTTCTGATTGTATTGCTTTGGGCTGCAAGAAGCCATTGGAGTGTTTTTGTGTGTGTGTGTAAGGGGGTTTTGCTTTTTCTTTTGGAGATGTTCAAACCTAAAAATAGAGAGAATGATATAAGGAACTGCTTGTACCTTCACCCAGCTCAACACATACCAGCATTTTGCCAATCCTGTTTCATCTCTACTCCTCACTTTTTTTGGTGGAGGGGCTCGATTTTTTTTTTCTCCTTCTTTTCCTGCCTTATTCCCTTAAAAAAAAAAATCTCTTTGTTGAAGTATAACAAATACTGAAAAGTGCCCAAATCATAAGTATACAGCTCAGTGATACTCACAAACTGAGCACACCCATGCAATTGGCATCCAGATCAAGAAACTCAATATGGCCAGCTCCCCAGAAGCCCCCTAGATCCCTTCCAGTCTCCACCTCCCAAACTTCTAACGTGCAATTGAACATAAAAGGAATCATACAGGACATCTCTGTCGTGACCAGCTTCTCTCACTTGTCATGACATTGGGAAGTCTATATTGTTGTGTGTCGTTGTAGACTGTAGAGTGCTCATTCTCATTGCTGTAGCATTCCGTTGAATCACAGTTTATTTACCACAGTTTATTCAATTGTGGATGGGTACTTGGGCTATCTTCAGGTTTTGGCTATTACCAATGGTTCTGCCGTGGACACTCTGGTACACGTCTTTTGGTTAACAGACATAGGCACTTATGGTGGCTTATACCCACCATATACATATTCCACCATGTGGAATCGCTGGTCATAAGGCAGGTGTATGCTCAGCTTTAGTAAATAGTGCCTGTATTCATTTGCTAGAGCTGCCATAACAAAGAACCACAAACTGGGTGTCTTAAACAACAGAAATTTATTATCTCACAGTTCTGGAGGCTACAAGTCAGAAATCAAGGTGTTGGCAGGGTTGGTTCTTTCTGAGGGCTGGGAGGGAAGGAGCCTCTCTCCTTGGCTTGTGGATGGCCCTCTTCTCTCTGTGTCTCTTCACACCGTCTTCCCTATGTGCGCGTTTGTCTCTGTGTCTGAATTTCCCCTTATTATACGGACACCAGTCATACTGGATTAGGGCCCACCCTAATGACATCAGTTTAACTTGATCATCTGCAAAGACCCTATTTCCAAATAAGGTCAAACTCTTGGGTTCTGGGGGTTAGGATCCCAAGCTATCTTTTTAGGGGGGAACACAATTCAACCCATAACTGTGCCAAAGAGTTTTCCAATGTGGTTGTACCAATTTACTCACCCACTATGTGCTAGAGTAGTTTAAAGCTAATTCCAGACATGATATCATTTGCCTTGGGAGTGTTTTAAAAGGAGGGAAGACTTGGTCTGATTTACCTTTTTAAACAATTCTATTTGTTCCGTGGGAATGTAAGACAAGGTAAACATTTCATCAAGAAAGAAAAGGTAGATAAAGAGTGAGCCCTCCAGGATGGCCCAGGGAGGACTCTCCGGTACTCCGGGGCTGGGAGAAGCCTCCTGGGACCCTTAGCACAGGGATGCTGTTCAGAGACCGTGCTCCATCCTGTACTGCCCTGTGCTGTGGAGCACCCCTTGGGGCTCAGGTTAGGCAGAGGGAGGAGCCAGGCCAGGACTCAGGCTGTCTTTCTGTCCATCTCCCTCCCTGCTAGGACATACAGCAGCTCCTCCAGCTCCAGCAGCTGGTGCTCGTGCCGGGTCACCACCTCCAGCCACCTGCTCAGTTCCTGCTGCCACAGGCCCAGCAGAGTCAGCCAGGTAAGGCCCCCACCCTAGATGGCCTCCCTGATGCCCCCACAAAACTCCCACCCCCTCACCCCATGCGTGCCGCCTTGTCTCCCTAGGCCTGCTACCGACGCCAAATCTATTCCAGCTACCTCAGCAAACCCAGGGAGCTCTTCTGACCTCCCAGCCCCGGGCCGGGCTGTCCACACAGGTGAGAGTGTCCACTGAGTGTGCCAGGCTGGGCCAGCAGCAGGGCCTGCAGAAGGCTGGGTGAATGGGGTAGGGGGTGAGGATCTCCCCTCCATTTGGCCCACCCCACAGCCACAGGGGCCAGGACAGGAGTTAGGAGACCTGAAGCCCAGCCCTGCTCTAACACTAATTTGCTGTGGGACCTTAGGCAAGTCACTCGCCCTGCCTGGGTCAGTTTCTTCCTCTGTAGAATGAGGAGAGTCAACCAGACCAGTGGCTCTTAACTCTTTCAGGCACATGGACTCCTTTGAGAATCTGACGCAAGATTTAGATCTGACCCCCGCTGCCCCAAAATGCACATGTGTACAAACACACAAAAAGACTATAGGTTACATGCCTTGGGTCTTTTGCAGGGCTATGAATGGAGGGTTCTCTGGGGAAGGCCTCTATTGGGTACGAATTCACATCCCCTTCCCAGACCAGACACTAAAAACGAGGGGCCCACAGATGTGTTTTATTTGGCCCATACCATATTTTTAAAATTGAACTAGTTGTCAATAAAATTCCCAGCAAACACCAGATTCTCAGCTTCTTTTGACAAACCAGAAGCTCTGGCAAGGCCGGATCTGCGTCCACGTAGCATGGTGGCAGTGGGCAGCTGGCCACTGGCCGGAGCAGGGGCCCCTCCAGCAAGGCGTGAGCTCTCCAGGCCCCCTCTGTGTCCTCCTGCCTGGCCCCCATGGCCTTTCTTTAAATTTGCTGCCTGGGTTCTAGACTTTAATAATAATCTTCCACTATCTTTTACTGATTTCAAAGTTCCCTCCTACCCATTTTTTTAGCAGCCCTTTCAAAAAATACATGAACTGTTAAGAAAACCCGAAAGTGTAGCCGCTTAGCCGCAATTCTGAAATCCAAAAATGCTCAGAAAATTAAGTTGTTCTTGTAATGTGGACACCAGAAGTCATTTGGCTGCAAAACCTATCTTGAACTGATGCAAGGTGGCATGTGCCTTTTCTTTATCCCTCTTGTGTGATGATATTCATGCTTTGCTGAGAGCTGTTAATATGTCTGATTATGGGGTAATGGCTTGATCCTGATGGGGGAGTCACATTAGCTATGATATATGCCCCATGTAGGCTTTCTGAAATCTGAAAAATTTCTGAATTCCAAAACACATCTGGCCCCAGGGTTTTGGATAATGGATCAAGGACTTGTGTGACCAAGATCCCTGCACCCACCACCAGCTTCAGATCTTTTATTTTTAGAGAAATGAAGCATTCCAGAGAGAGCTATTGCTTCTTTGTAAATCCCTCAGTCGCCCTCCCATCTGGTTTTTAAAATACTTTTACTTTATTTTCAACCTACTCATTTTTAACCCAATGCTCCCAACAACCCCATGGGGTAGGCAGAGCAACCATGATTGTTCCCAACCTGCAGACGGGGAAACTGAGGCCCAGGGAGATTAAGAAACTTGCCCCAGTCACCCAGCAATTCGGTGGCAGAGCCAGTCCTTGATTCCCTGCCAGAGAGGAGGATAAAACCACCACCCCCAACTCCAGAGAGAGCCCTTGGCGAAAGGAGCTGGCTGCTCCTTCTGGGAGTTTGCAGGCTGGGAGGGAATGTGCAGAGAGTTCCAGGCAGCGACAGGACCGTTGTGGGGCAGCAGTGTCACCTTGATGGAAATTGACAGGTGGAGGGGAGTCTGCAGGAAGAGGCTGGACGGCAGGGAGGGAGGAAGGCAGGGGGAACTGCGCAGCCATTACTGAGCCCCATCCTGGTCCTCGGTCCTGCATCCTACCCACCTGCCCACTCCACCAGGCCGTGACCCGCCCCACGCTGCCCGACCCGCACCTCTCGCACCCGCAGCCCCCCAAATGCTTGGAGCCACCATCCCACCCCGAGGAGCCCAGTGACCTGGAGGAGCTGGAGCAGTTCGCCCGCACCTTCAAGCAACGCCGCATCAAGCTGGGCTTCACGCAGGTCTGGGGCCACCCGGCAGGACGGGCGGTGCGCGTGGGGCTGAGGGGGCGTGACCATTTGGTTGGCGGGGTGGGGGTCGGGGTGGGGTGGGTATGGCCATCTCCTGGGCGGGGCGAGGGGCGTGGTCAGATGGTGGGCGGGGAGAGGGCGTGGCCAGCTGGTGCGCAGGGTGAGCCCAGTGCCCGAAGGCTGGGTCCTGACTGCCGCCCCGTCCCCGCCCACTGGCCCAGGGTGACGTGGGCCTGGCCATGGGCAAGCTCTACGGCAACGACTTCAGTCAGACGACCATCTCCCGCTTCGAGGCCCTCAACTTGAGCTTCAAGAACATGTGCAAACTCAAGCCCCTCCTGGAGAAGTGGCTCAACGACGCAGGTGGGACTGGGCTGGGGCTCCGGCTGGTGGTGGGTGGCGGGCGCCGGCCGGGGAGGCATCTTCTCATGCTCCGTCTCTTACTGGCACAGAGACTATGTCTGTGGACTCAAGCCTGCCCAGCCCCAACCAGCTGAGCAGCCCCAGCCTGGGTTTCGACGGGCTCCCGGGCCGGAGACGCAAGAAGAGGACCAGCATCGAGACAAACGTCCGCTTCGCCTTAGAGAAGAGTTTTCTAGCGGTGAGGCTCCACCTCCCGGGCGGCCAGGAGGGCGGGCAGGAGGACGGCCGGCGCTAACAAGCCCTCTGCCCGCAGAACCAGAAGCCTACCTCAGAGGAGATCCTGCTGATCGCAGAGCAGCTGCACATGGAGAAGGAAGTGATCCGCGTCTGGTTCTGCAACCGGCGCCAGAAGGAGAAACGCATCAACCCCTGCAGCGCGGCCCCTATGCTGCCCAGCCCTGGCAAGCCGGCCAGCTACAGCCCCCATCTGGTACCAAGGGCCCCTCTGGGGGGTAGGGCACAAAGCTCTGCACCCCGCTCGCCCCTCAGCAGGCACCTTGTACAAAGCACAACCTCCCTGGTTGTCCACAGTGCCTAGAACAGAGGCAGGGAGAGTCACCCTTGGGGACAGGCTGTCACATGGGTGGAGCACAGTCACACAGGGACACACAGTTTTCAGGGAACTGTGGTCTTATGTGGGGAATACAAGCACCCACAGACATAGCCAAACATAGAGCTATCACAGGACACAGCCACATGGGGATGGATACCAGCTAGGAGATACAGGCACCCCCCCCCCCCCGCCGCCACACACAGGTTCACAGCCACACAGACACTGGCAGGGACATCATTACATCCCTGGGTGTGCACTCAGGTCCACAGCCACACACAGACCCTCTTAGGATCAGACACCCTGGGACATCCCTTTATTCCATCTAGTGTGGAAAGGGCTGTGATGCTACAGAGAGGAGCAAGGGGCGCAGAGGAGCCCCCCACCCTGATGTGGAGGAAGGGGACCATCTGAGCTGAGTCAAAAGGACAAGAGAGAGTTAGCCAGCCATGTGAAGGACAGGCAAAGGGACCAGTGTTCCCAAAGGCCTAGGAGCCAGTGTGCCGAGCCCATTTTAAGGAACTGGAGCTGGAATGTATGTGAATGAGTGTGGGGGTGGGGTGGGGGATGGGCAGGGGCCAGACACCCAAGTTACATGCTGAGGAGCTTGAACTTGAACCATGGGCAGTGAGGAGCTAAGGAGGAGTTTTGAGCTGGGGAGGGACAGCGTCACATTTAGGGTGAGGCTCCTGGGGCTGATGGAAGGATGAGACTGGAGCCAGGGAGACCAAGAAGGAGGCTGGTGGATGTTCCCAGAAAATGAAGCAATATGACATCTCAACACTCTGATGCAGAGATATAGCTTATCCTCATAATGCCCCCCTCCCCACCCCTTGCTTCAGACCTGCAACTGGATAATGTCAGAGGAGAGGTGAGGGAGCACGCTTGGTTGGGAATATTCCCTCCTGCTTGTGGCTCAAGATCACCCAGGATAACTGTGAAGAAGGATATGATGGAAAGCACCTGGCATAATACAAACATAGCATTGTACCCCAAGTCGTCCCCACAGGGAGCAGCTTGGGGGCTGCTGGGAGACAGTGGCCTAACCATGCCTTCTTTCCTCTCTCCCAGGTCACACCCCAAGGGGGCGCCGGGACCTTGCCGCTGTCCCAAGCTTCCAGCAGTCTGAGCACAACAGGTCAGGGAGGGCAGAAGATGGGGAGGGGGACCGGGAGACTCAGTGCAGGCCTGGAGCCCGGAGTTCTCCAGTGGCGCAGAGCGCAGGGTGTCTGCAGGCCTCAAGGCTGAGCCTGGGGATGAGGGGGCAGGGGTCAGAGGGGAGAGGGCAGCCTCGCCCTCCCAGCCAGAGCAGCTGGCTTTCACCTGTTCCACGATTTCATATGAGAAAAGCTTGGGGTTGCTAAAAGGCAACGTACTTGGGTTCTATTCCCGGCATTTATAAACTGTGTGAACTCCAGAAGCAAGTTTACCTCCGTGAGCCCCAGTTTTTATAAAATTATTGTGAATGTATAATACATGCAGAAGCTATATACATGAATACACACACACGCACACACACACACTTTTGTACTCAATGCCCTCCTTTCCCCCTTCCTGGGACAGGGCATGTTTAACACCCTATATAAGAATAATATAAAACAAACACCATATTGCCCCTCCCCAGGTTAAGAAATAATAAGTAGAGGTTTATAAAGTGGTAAGGGTGTGCCTGGCACTGTTCTAAACTCGTTATAAAGAATATTGCCTCATTTAATCCTCACACCCATTTTGTGAGGTAGGTTCTATTATTATCCCCATTTTCCAGATGAGGGAACTGAAGGCCAGAGAGGTGAAGGCACTGGCCCAAGGGCACAGCTGGGATGTGACAGAGCCAGGAATTGCTGCCCTGGCTGGCTGGCCCAACTGGGCTCTGAGCCCTCTCAACCTCCGTGTGCACAGCTGCACCCCCCTGCCTGGCCCTTAGAGGGAGCCATAGGGCTTTGTCTTCTGGGAGCCCCCAGTTCTTGTCTCTATAGAAGGAGCTGGGTGGTGAGGTTCAGGGTGGGGTATGCGGGGTGCCAGCCCACGCCCAGGCTGAGTGGGTGACAGCTGCTCTTATTGCAATTACTGTGGTTGCTGTCACTGTGGCAGGGGCATAAAAAACTGGCTCTGGGAAGAGAGGACAAGAGGCCTAAGTCTGTTCTGACGGAGGAGATGCTGCAGGACTGGGCAGGAAAAACAAGCAGGAGGTTCCTCAGTGCAGGACGAGTGGAAGCTGAAGTCTCCATCTCTCTGTCTCTCTTTGGCAGTTACTACCTTATCCTCAGCTGTGGGGACGCTCCACCCCAGCCGGACAGCCGGAGGGGGTGGGGGCGGGGGCGGGGCTGCGCCCCCCCTCAATTCCATACCCTCTGTCACACCCCCACCCCCGGCCACCACCAACAGCACAAATCCCAGCCCTCAAGGCAGCCACTCGGCTATTGGCTTGTCGGGCCTGAACCCCAGCACGGGGTAAGTGAGCAGCTACAGGTGGGAAGGCTGTGGGGAGAAGCTGGGGGCTGCTGCTTCTGGGGTGGGAGCTGCCCCCTAGTTCTGCTGGTGGGTCCCTGCCCCTGCTAACGCCTCTGCTTTGCCTCTTGCAGAAGCACAATGGTGGGGTTGAGCTCCGGGCTGAGTCCAGCCCTCATGAGCAACAACCCTTTGGCCACTATCCAAGGTGCGTGCTGCCTCATGTCACTCTCATCGTCACCAGCCCTGCCCCCCAGGGCCTCGAGCCCCCCCATTGCTGCTCCTGCCATGCCATTCTGCCCCTGCTCACTGCATCGCTTGCCTCTTCATACCCATCTCACCTTGGGGGAAGGTGTGAGGGGTGCTGATGGGGGTCAGTGAGGCAGATGGGAAGACAGGGCGACTGTGGGCGGGATGCTGGAAGGCACCCCCAGCCCAGCCTCTCTCTCTCCCCACCAGCCCTGGCCTCTGGTGGAACCCTGCCCCTTACCAGCCTTGATGGCAGCGGGAACCTGGTGCTGGGGGCGGCCAGCGCGGCCCCGGGGAGCCCCGGCCTGGTGACCTCGCCGCTCTTCTTGAACCACGCTGGGCTGCCCCTGCTCAGTGCCCCGCCTGGCGTGGGCCTGGTCTCGGCAGCCGCTGCGGCCGTGGCGGCTTCCATCTCCAGCAAGTCTCCTGGCCTATCCTCGTCCTCCTCCTCATCTTCCTCCTCCTCCTCCACCTGCAGCGAGGGGGCAGCACAGACCCCTGGAGGCCCTGGGGGGCCCGAGGCAGGGTCCAAGCCCGAGTGAGGGCCCGCCATGCCTCCCCTCCTACTCCTCTGACCCCCACCTCGGTCCCCCGCCTGGGAAGAGGGCGCGGAGGCCAGCGGTGGGGGCGCAGAGGGTCCTTGGAGCAGGAGTGACAAGGGAGGAAAGACCAAAAAAAACCAACCAACCAAAAAAAAAAAGAAAGAAAAGAAACCAACCAACAGAAAAGAAAACCAAAAATAATCACAACAGAAACCAGCTGCCCCAAAGGAACCAGAGGTGAAAAACAAACAAACATAAAAAACCAAAAACAAACAAAAAATTCCCCAGAAAACCAAACAAACCAAAAACCAGTCTGGAGCCAGACCTCAGTGTGCTCACCCTCACCGCTACGACACCAAATAACCCCAGCCAGGGGTGGAGAAGCCCGGCAGGGCGGACCTCACGCCGAGCCCCTGGCTGTGGGGCCAACCCCAAGCTTTGCCTCCCCCGGCGGGGGCCAGAGAAGGAAAACAAGAATGTGCCAGCCTCGCAGCCCCAGCCCCCAGCCCTGGGCCGGCGAGGAGAGGGCACAGCCTGGGGCAGATGGAGTGGGCTCAGAACCACCCTCCAAATGTTCTTTTCCAGAAGGTGAAAGAGAAAGGGCCTGAACAACCTTACACCAAATATTCAGTAGCTTCATCCAAAGGATGTACAGAATTTTTAGCGTTGCGCTCAACAGAATGTGTCCCTACCATGTGTCTCCCTCTACCCTGGCCCCCAGCTCTCCCCACCTGGGCGGGGGTCTTGCTGTAACCTCCTCCCTCCCCCAGCCAGGGGAGAGTTCAGGGGAAGGCCTGGGATGACTTCACCCCTTGTACCTCCTCCTTTTCCCTTTGAAGGGTGGGCTAGGCCGTTTTGCCAAGTTCTAGCTCTCACACGTCCCCCCTCAACCCTGTCACCCTTTTCTGCTCTGGAATCTGCCCCCTCCCCAGCCCATGGGAAGGTGGAAGTTTCAGGCAAGAGGGAATGAGGTGAGGGCATTCAAGTTGTCTTTTTTTCCATCCTCCTCTGTCAGTTTCCCTGAAAAAAAAAATTCATATTCCAGTGCCTATCCGTGGGATCCTTCACGTTCTTTGACATTGACCAAAAACCAAAAAGAGAACTCACCTCGCTCTTCCCACCCTGTGCCCCTCTGATACTGGCAGATGCCTCTTCCTCTCCCCCCACACACATGCACACACGCACGCACCCCAGTGGTGGGTTCCTCGAGATGGCATCCCCATCAGGGTCCAGGTGGCGGGGACAGTGCCATGACCTGTGGTCCCCATCCGAGAGGGCGCTGTGGTGGCCACCACTCCCATGAGACCTCCCTCGAGTCTTGGCTGGACCCTGTGTTTGCCCAGCCCTGGACACCTCTCGACGGACAGAGGAGAGACGCCGCTGGGAGCCACTTTGCCCTCCTGCTATTGTGGAGGCCAACAAAGTTTTGAACCAAAAAAAACAAAAACAAAAAACCAAACAAACAATAAATTAAAACTAGAAAAATAAAAGAATTTATAGATATATATATATTTAAGGGAAAGAAGACGAGGACTCTTCAAGAATAAGAAGGAGCCGCGAGGTGGAGCCAAGCCCCTGCACCAGTGGTCCAGGCCCTTGGTCCCCGAGGCGGATGGAAGGACGGATGCTTCTTTCTCTTCACAAATACCTCATGGACGTCGTCTTCGGGAAAGCCGGAGGGGGGCGGCTGGGGCAGGGCCTGTCCCTCAGCCAGGGCAGATGGAAGCGGGTGGGCAGGGCTGAGAGAGGGTGTCAGGGACAGGGGTAAAGAGCCCCAAGCTCCCTGCCCCCCAATCAATTGAAAAAGCTTTAAAAAAAAAAAACAGGAAAAAAGGAATAAGAGCAAAAAGAATGGACGAAGGAAAACTAAGAAACTTTCGGGTGGTTTGATTCCTCCTTTGATCTCTTTTTCTGTTCTCTTCTGTCTGTCCCCTCCTCTCTGTCTCCTCCTTTCTCTCTGCTCACCTCTCTCTGCCTCTCTCTCCCTCTTCCTTCGCTCTTCTCTCACCTCTCTCAATCTCGTTCTTTCTGTGTCTCTCCTCAAACCAAAGTGTTGCTGTGAAGGACGCGAGCCATTGAAATCAGAGCGGAGCCCGGCGGCGGCTGCAGAGTGGCCCCTGTCCCTTGCTGGGCAGAGCAGAGGGAGGGGAGAACCCCGGGAGACGGGCAGTGCTGCTGGACACTCCGAGGAGAGGCAAACAAAGCCTCGGATGCCATCCTGGGCCCTGAGGCTTCAGCGTTCTCTCTTTCTTTCTTGTCTCCCTTCTCCCACCCGGGAAATGCAACTGTTGGGCTGGGCCACGGCGGCAGCAGAGACTCAGCTGTTGCAGGGGTTTCGGGGTGCCTTGTCGGGCAGCGGTGGAGTGGCCGACCCTCCCACCCTGGCAGCGATGGGGCCTGGCATGCTGTCGACCCGTCCTCGCCGGAATGTAAGCATCTCTGCTGAACCAACTCCCTGCCCTGACCCTACCTCTGAATTTGTCCATTTTTATTTCCTGAAGAGAAGGGACTGGCAAGAGGGCCTGGGCCCCAGTGCAGGGGTGGAGAGGGGGCTAAGGGCTCCTGACCAGATAGGAAGGACATTTGAGCAGAGCAAAGTGAAAGGAATTACAACCAAAAACCCCTCCGAGAAGACAGGCAGCATGGAAGGCATGGTGGAGATGACTCAAACAAAAACTGATTCTAGACCAAAAGAAAAAAAAAAAAGGAAAGAAAATCCAGGACTCACCACCACCCACTTCATCCTGCTTCCTCCCCATCAAGTCCTGCCACCTGGGACCTCTCCCCAACCCAAGTGTGGGGGGAGTGGGGCAGAGAGGAGGAGAGGAAGCAGGGGGCAGGGATGGGGCCGATGCCCTGACATTGGTGGAGGGACCCCCGTGCAGCCGGGGTGGTGGGGACCCTCCCCATCCAACCCCCATAACTGGGAAAAGAAAAACAAGAAAAAATGAAAATTCCTGGGAGGGGGAAAAATAACCAAATCCCAAGCTTTAACTACAGCTGTGAAACCAAATATTGGGAAGGGGGTGGGAGGGAGGGAGGGGCAAGTGTGCCCCAGGTCTCCCCCCTGGGCCCCCCTCCCCTGAGGACTCGAGATAAGGCACCAAATACCTCATAGAACTTTAATGTTAAAAAAAGGAAACCAAATATCGTTGGCTGGGGGCCAGCCAGGGCAAGGGGCTGGGGGGCTGGATGGAGCCAGGGTTGGGAAGGTGATGGGGGAATTCACGCCCCCCACCCCCCTCTGCCCCTTCCACTCCGGTCCCCCATCTCGACTCCGGGAAACAAAACTATCTCATCATTTTTATTTTGTGGTCTGTACAGAGCCTGTGTCCGTGTGTCTGTGTGTGAGCGAGAGAGTTGGGGGCTGGGGAACTTTATGTGGGGGATGGGGAGGGAGACCCCGGGCCAGGCTCTGGGCTAGGTGAGATGTCTGAGGTGGGTGGCCAGGGGCCTGGGCTAGAAAGAGAGGAAGATGAGTGAATTGGAGAAAAGGGGAGCCCTCTGAATTTCTCTTCTCCCCAACCTTGACTTGAGGGAGAGACAGAGACTGGGTCTACCCTAATGGTGGGCCTTTTAGTTGTGCCAAAAAAACCAAAATGCCAGTAACGAAAACACCTCTCTCTGTTCTCTTCTGGGAGGGTGGGGGCTGGAAGTGGGAGGGAGGGGCTGGGGGTATAAGTAGGGGTGAGATGGGGAATCCAAGGCCCTGTATGAGTTGGGGCTAAGATCAGGAGGAGGGGCAAGGATATGAGTTTCCCACACTTCTACCTGGGGAAGGCCAAGAGAGGGTCTCCAAGCCCTGCACCTTGGGAAGATGGGGTAAGGGACTAGCACATAGGGGGTGACCTCTTGAGCCGACTAGATTTCCTCACCCACCCAAATCCCAGGGTGCCTCTCTCTCCCTTTAGTCCAGGGTAGGGGGAACTGAGTGAGAGAGAGAGTGAGACAGACTGAGCAAGACTGAGACACGCGGGCCCCCACCAGCCTCTGAGTGGGAAAGGCAAGTGCGAGAGATAAAGGCCTCCAAGAGAAAAAAGAAACAAACCAAAGATTTAACCATTAAAAAAAAAACCCACAGACAACTCCGCTACCTTTTTATACGTTGGAAAAAAAAGTGAAAAAAATTAAAAAATAAAAATTAAAAAAAAATACACAAAAACTCCAAGCCGCAGTTCCTTCACGCGGTTTGAACTTTGACCTCAGCAGTCTCCAAAGCAAGATGACGATGACAAAGGCGAAAAAAAAAAAGAAAAAATAATGTATATTTTTAAGTATTTGTCCTTGAGATGTTAGCTCCTTGTTAAACAAACACAAAAAGGAGAGAAAAGTCCAGAGAGAAGTGTTGCTGGGACGGAGACAACTATTTACTATGTCTGTGACCCCCCCCCCCCCGCCTCCCCTTCCTCTCCTTTCCTTT